TGTCAAGCCAACAAAACTCCTCCTGGATGTATAATACGACGTGTGTAAAAATCTGTAACTTAGGAAGGATGCTGCCTACCCTAAATTCTGGATAACGTATTGGTCCGATACACATCTACAAAGTTTGGATTTGATTTATAGTAAACATACATTTCAGAGAGCCAGTTTGATCTAGTGGTTAAGGCACCAGGTTAGAAACCAGGAGAAAGGGGACTGGAGGCTAAAACATACACAGAACGGCTGCTGGAATTGGGTCTGTCTAGTTTAATGAAGAGAAGGACGAGGGGGGACATGATAGCAGTGTTCCAGTATCTCAGGGGCTGCCCCAAAGAAGAGGGAGTCAAGCTGTTCTCCAAAGCGCCTAAAGGCAGGACAAGAAGCAACGGATGGAAACTCATCAAGGAGAGAAGCAGCCTAGAACTAAGGAGGAACTTCCTGACAGTCAGAACAATTAACCAGTGGAACAACCTGCCTCCAGAAGCGGTGAATGCTCCAACACTGGAAGTTTTTAAGAAGAGACTGTCAGCCCAACCCACCTCACAGGGTTTTTGTAGGGGGAAACAGGAAGAGGAAAGACTATGATATATATTTGCTCTCTTGAGTTATTTCTATAAAAAAAAGCAAAGGCAGGGTAAAACAACACTCAGGGAAGAATTCTAGTCTTTCCACCAAGACGTTTTATGCATTTGCTGCTTTGGGGAAAGGAGGATAGCTGACCCTTTTCTTTTCTTTCCCGTCCTCCCCTCCGCCCCCGCCCCTTCCCTCCTGGGCGCAGTTCTACTCTGGGCACCGATCCCCTCACATTCCATATAGGTTATTGCACCTGGTATGGACGCACGCACGACATTTAGCAGGGTACGAGCAGCAGGACGCACACGAGTTCCTCATTGCTGCACTGGATGTGCTACATCGACACTGCAAAGGTGAGGCCCTTCCCTCTGGTTACCGAAATTTTCGGCTCCGTTGCGGTCGCTACCTGTACGGCTTTTGTAACTCCCAAATAAACAGGTTTACTCCTCTGAGTTAGCAGGATCCCCTCCCAGAAGTCATGCTTCTAATGCCCTGGCTTGCAACTGCTCCATCCTTGGGAATTCCATTTCAGCCCAATTATGCTTAGTTTATTTTTATTTTATTTTATTTGCTGCTGTTGCTGCTGTGTGGCATGTTGACAGGTGCAAGGAGGTGGTAATTCCATTTTGCCAGATGTCACCGGAAGCCCAGTGAGTGGGTCAGCCCTCCCCGTGTTGCTGTGAACAAGCTTACAACAACAGCCTTTCGAGACCCACCCCCCCCTCCTCATTGAGCCTAATTGACTTGGGTAATTGAACAGGGAGCAAGCCTTATTCTCCTGTGGGTGCAAATGATGGTCTATTAAGAGTATCCAGCAGGGATGTTACCTGCAGCCCAGTGAAAATGGGAAAGAAGCCATTTGCTAGTTTTTAGGAGCAGATGACCAAAAAAAGAGAGGAAGAAATGCTTTTTTACACGCAAGGATTAAATCTTTGACTTTTTTTTTTTAAAAAAAAAAAGATTCTTTGTTTTCCTTTTGGTATGGAACTTTCTCCAAAAATGACACAGTCTTGTAACTTTTCATGACTTCATAAAAAGAAACAGGAAAGACTGTTACTTATTTTTTTTTTTTTTGTCAGTAGTGATTTAATAATGTATCTTTCACTTGGCCAGAAAGTTTAAATCCCAATCCTTAAGACAGTTGCTCCATAATGGATTTGCTAAGGTGGTGCCATATTTAATCTCAGAATCCCAAGTCAGATTCGTGCCACGTTGACATTGGAAATTTTTTAGTTTATTTCCATTCATCTCCCTGAGTTTTGTTAATGGTTGAGTGTTCTAGTCACGGTTAAGAAAATTCCCATGAAGTATAAACTTTTTTTAAAAAAATAAATAAATTTAGTCTTGCTTCTAGGATAACATTTTCAGTCATGTGGGAAGAGCTACGTTATGTGTCAAAATTATTAAATGCCGAACATTTGTGAATGCTGCCTTTTCTACCTTACTTGGCTTTTAGTGATTTAGCTAGATAGTGTGAATAAATGACAGGTGAAATTTTCTTAAGAGCTCATTTTTACTTGGAAAGACCTACATGTATTACTCAACCCCTCAAAGCCCGGTTAAATCATCATTGCCACTTAACTGCCATAGCAGGGCTACCGCTTCTGGAAGCAGAGCGAAACCAGCCAATTTTCCACTTAATAATAATAATATATTACCATGCCTATGACATGAAGTCTCTCATACCTTATTTTGGATCTACTTTCTTGGTTCGATCATCCAAGCACAACTTGAAGCAATAAAATAGAAGCAGCGTTTTTCATAGCTCTCATTCCTGATGTACTTCTGTATTCTTATAACGTTATTTCTGTAGGTACACCACAAAAATTAAGTTTTAGGTCTACAGGTAGTCCTTGACTTATGACCACCTTGGGTTTCCACTGCTAAGCAAGGCTGTCATTAATGACTGTTTCTAAGGAGACCCAGTTTTATGACTTTTCTTGCCAGTTTTAAGTGAATCACTGCAGTTGTTAATTTAGTAACAGAGCTGTTAAGTGGATCTGTCTTCCCCATTGTCAGAGGGTCACAAAAGCTGACCCCGTGACCCCAGGCCCCTGCAATTGTTATAAATACTTGCCACTTGCCAAGTCTCCAAATTTTGATAATGTGACCAGCAATTGTTGGGAAACAGTCCTGAGTCCCCCTTTTTTTTCTAGTGCCATTGCAACTTGGAATGGTTACTAAACGAAGGATTGTAAATCAAGGATTACCTGTGTATAAAGAGCGTAGTTCTCTCTGCAGAGGTACATGCAAATCTTCAGAGGGCTTGCAAACCAATTCTGCTTATTTCCTTTGCTTCAGGTGACGATAATGGGAAGAAAGCCAGCAATCCCAACCACTGTAACTGTATCATAGACCAAATCTTCACAGGTGGACTACAGTCTGATGTCACGTGTCAGGTCTGCCAGTGAGTATGAGGAGCAAGTCTTTTCAAAAACCGACAGCCCCTTGAGAGTAAGATGGTGATATCTTCCCGATGTCTAGAGAGAAAGAGCTGAGGCAGGAAACCTCAGGGAGAACCCGACGCAAGGGCAGAATAAAAGAAAGAAAAGAGTTAATTCCATCGTGTGAGCGGTGCTATTTGAGAGGAAGAGCAGTAAGAAGGAGACGTGGGTGACCTTTCCAATAAACTAATCTACTGCTTTTAAACCTGCTCTTGAGTTAAGGCACCTTTTTTTTTTCTTCTTCTGTTGAAGACGTGATGGCGGTCTTTTTCAGCCACATATAAAAAAAAAAAACATCACCAGGAATTTAAAACCAGCTTTTGCTTGATTATGAAGCCAAGTGGGCAGCCAATGTGCTTTTTTTAAACGGGGACCTGAGCTGCCAGAATTTTGCACTGTTAAGTTATATGGACTCTTCGTTAACTCCCCTTGCTGGTTTATATCTGACGGCCGATATTTTGTCCGTGCCCTATCGTCCTGCTCTTGTTGCCTATTTCTAAGGCCCCCATTAAAGAAATTTAAAACCTTCTTCGTTGGAAATCTGTTTTGCAAGCAACCCCTAGGGGTGAAGTGCCATTTTTTTCCCCTTCCCCTTCTGCACATTCATTTTGGAAGTGGAAGAGTTGACAGGAGAACGTTTTTTCCTCTCAGCGTTTAACTCTTGTGAACGTACTATTTTGTAAAGGAATATTACACCCTTTTCTGGATCTGTTGATTTGCAGGAATGCCCCCTTAATATTG